CGCCGTGCTGCTCCCAGATCACAACTTTTATGACTCACCCCCCCCCCCCTCCCCTCGCTCTCCCGGAAAGCCAGCCAGCCTCGTGTCCAGATTAATTGTGCGATTTCACACGGAGCGTTTAATAGCGCCCGCTGCGTGCGGTATTGACGACTCCAGGGGATTGGGGGGGGGGGGGCGTTGCAGTACAGGGCTGAGCACCGATGAGGAGGAGTCGTGCAATTTTACTCCGCACCCGCCCACGAAGTCGGTTGCCGGGGCGTCGTCGAGATCTTTCAGGTTGAGGTATACTGTAGTACTACATCCACACGTGCGGAAGGGGGGAGGGGGGTTACTCACACTGGCCACCGACGTGCACGTCAAAGACGGCGTTCGTGCGATTGTCCAAAACCACGCTAAGGAGGAGGCGACTACGCCACCCCTACCTGTGTGTGAATTCGCGCCGACTGTACCAAGTGGCTGTTCACGTTCACCCCGCTCACTTCTATAGTTACACTGTGCTGCACTCAGGAGGGCGGTCGGGCTTGCCTATCGCCTCTGGGCCTGGGCACGGCGCATCACGGGTCGAGCAAGTAGGCAACCCGCCCGCAACTCCTGCGTGCGGTACAGTACCAGGTGGTGGCTGATTCACGCCGCGCACTTCTGTAGGTATACTGTACCGCATGCACAGGTGCGGGCGGGTTGCCTACTCGCTCGGCTAGTAAGGCAAGCTCGGCTAGTAAGGCAAGCGAGCGAGCGAGTAGGCAACCCGCCCGCACCCGTGCATGCGGTACAGTATACATACAGAAGTGCGCGGCGTGAATCAGCCACCTGGTATAACTACAGAAGTGTGCGGGGTTAATCGGCCACCTGGTACAAAGTTTCTTCTAATGTTGCAACAACAACATCGCAACAGCCCTGCTCCTGCGGAAAACGTCATTTGGTGGCCGTTGCCCACGGTCCAAGGAAGGCCCAGGAGCGCGTCCCCTTCCTCGCCCGGCGCGGCCGCGGCGCCTGCACAAGGTCTCTATGCCCCGCTAGCTCTGCCCCCGCCGAGCCGAGCCGCGCCGTCGCACCGCTTGGCTTCAATCTCCGAACCCAACACAAGCAAGTTTGTTCAGCGCCTATACAGCCCGCCTGCCTCGCCTGGGCTGCCTCCCAAATAGCAGTTGATGAGCTTTGCCGGCCCGGAGAACCATGGGACCGGAAAGGGCGCGGGGTAGCGGGGGAACGGGGTAGAGTGGGCCCTCGGAGGGGCGGGGC